GGAGCAGGGGAGAACAATCCATATGCTTCATCAAGTGGGGAGACTGAAATGACCACATAAGACCTTTCTAACCATGTGACAGACCTGAAGCAACCAAAGAATGTCCTTCTGGAAGTCATACTGACAAGGAGAACATGCTGACCAAGCTGCATGGGATGGGACAGGGCTGACAATGATGGGATGAACCAGGGGGCTTCAGGATGGAAGCTGGTGGGAATGCCTGGCAGATATATGTAGCCACTGTCTCTGGCAAAGGAGACAAGCAAGATGATCAACAAAGAAGCAGCCATTTCTGATGGACTTAGTGAAATGAGTGTCTGATGGATGGAGTGCTGTAGAAATGCATAGGGTGTGAGGATTGTCTCCAAATTTGGAAGGCAGAATCATGAGGCTGAGCACTTTAAGCAAGTGTGAGAATGGAGTCAATATCTTTGGAAATGGTGGAGATATGACAAAAACCAGAATGCCATGCATGGGCACTAAAAACTTTTAATGTGTGCTTAACTCACTTCCTCTTTTCTCTTTAGCACTGATGACTCATTCTTGTTTGAAGGATGACTGCTAACATCCAGCAGTCTTTCTACACATGAGGGCTTTAGTCTTCATCTGCATGACATGGCATGGGTGCACAATTTGTTGACAAGTTAGGCAGAGTCAGCTGTAACCATATCCACAACACCTTTGGTGTGTGACAGCACACTTCACTCACTTCCTCTTTTCTCTTTAGCACTGGTGACTCATTCTTGTGTGAAGGATGACTGCTAACATCCAGCAGTCTTTCTATGCATGAGGGCTTTAGTCTTCATCTGCATTCATGGCATGGGCATTGTGCACAACTCATCAGCAAGTTAGGCAGAGTCAGCTGTAACCATGTCCACAACACCTTTGGTGTGTGACACCACCACTCTGGAACCTGTTTCATTCACTCCATGCTTACTCTGCCCATCCTCTGGCTTTGTAGCACTCCTCCACTTCACATTGTGAGGAATCTGCATTCCCCAAGCATGTGAGCCCTTATGTAGCAACATTGATGTGTGTTAAAGCATCTATGGTAAACATAGTTTTTCCTGGTGCAATCTGTTGCATAGAATGTTGATGAGTGGGTCTCCAAACACTTGACAACTTCAAATGCTACAACACTACCATATGAATATCTTATAGTGACTTACATATGCATGTTGAGTTCAGGGCACTCCATGGTGGCAGCTTGGAGCTGTGTTGGCTGAGATGAGGCAAGCAATGAGCAAGATCCTAACAAGTACAAATGTACACTCCAAAAAGCTTACATAACCTGTATATAAGCATAGTCATGGCTATGGATACTCTGCAAACATCTTTCTGTAACTCATGACCTCCATGGTTACAAACCATATTTTTACATCACATGAATGTACATGTACAAGTAAACAAAAGTCTCCCAAACTTCAAATATAAACATGCATTTCTCCATAACAAGCACTATCATCACACTGATGCTAGCCATGCTGCAGTGGACAATGAATATTGAGCATGCCACACAAAATAACAGTAAGCAATAATCTCACCCTGATGTTCCACTCTTAACATTCTGACCATACTCAAACTTCATTGGCCTTCTGGCTCCATCAACAATTTGTTTGCTGAAAACATGAGAACAATACTGTAGTTCCATAAATATTAAAAATATTGACTTACACATACGATACTTGATGATAATGTTGATGATAGCTTCACATAAACCATCCATATCACCATTATGGTCTTGAAGAGCTGTCTTGACAGCCTTGGTGATAGCCATCTGTGTATCAGAGCTCTTGTATTCCTTTACAGCCAATGGCAAAGCCTCTTTCCAAAGATGGTTCCCTTGCTGCATTGAAAAGTAAGAATGCTCAGCAACAAGCAAATATCCTAGAAGGGTGAGTGTGCACTGAGTATGTATTGTGTGGGAAATGGGAAACACTCACCAATAGCTTCTTCAACCATTGATTGGAGAGTTGGGAACTTCCTCAACAAAGTAACATCTTGGGACAGAGGTGGTATATGGATGGTGGTATTGACTTCAAATTTCAACTGTGACATTACATGTCAGCCAGGGAGAAAGAGAGATAGCAATGCAACACTTACAAGCTAAAAATTGCAATGCCACATGTGTGACAGATATAGTCACAGCATGGGTGAACAGGAAATGAAGCCAGGCTGCTCACCTCCTGCCAATGAAGAGGGCACTACCAAGGGCATCACCAGACACTCATAATCAGTCTATGCACTCAACCAACCATGTAATCACTCACATCCTGCCATATAAAGTGGTTTGGGGAAGGCATAAAATCAGCAAACACCAGGTGCAACATGGCAGAACCACCTACCAGCTACCAGCCAAGTAGAACCCAAAGGATGTAAGTGAAGTGAATCAGGAATGATGTAACATTACATGAGATTCACACACATTCTGCATACTATCAATGTGAAAAGTACATGGAATCCCAGTGAGCAAATATGTAGCTGAACATGACATGAAATCACTCACTTCCTGTCATGCCACCAACATCAAGTACAATTGAGGCCATTGAGCAGAGGTCCAGCTGAGCATGCCATGAAATCACCCACCCCCTGTCATGCCACCAACATCAAGAGTGCAAGTGACACCATCAAACAGAGATCCAGCTGAACATGCCATGAAATCACTCACCCTCTGTCATGCCACCAACATCAAGAGTGCAGTGGAGCCATTGAATAGAGATCCAACTGAACATGCCATGAATCACTCACCTCCTGCCATGCAAGCAACAGCAAGAATGCAAGTGAGGCCATTGAGCAGAGATCCAGCTGAACATGCCATAAAATCACTCACCTGCTGTCATGTCACCAACACCAAGAGTGTAGTGAGGTCATTGAGCAGAGATTCAGTCCAGCATTCCAGGATATCACTCACTAACTGTCATGCCACCAGCATCAAGAGTGCAAGTGGAGCCATTGAGCAGAGATCCAGTGGAACATGTCATGAAATTACTGACAAACTGTCATGCAACCATCAAGAAGAGTGCAAGGCCAATGAGCAGAGACCCAGTTGAACATACATGAAATCACTCACATCCTGTCATGCCACCAACACCAAGAGTGCAAGTGAGGCCATTGAACAGGGATCTAGTTGAACATGCCATGAAATCACTCACATGCTGTCATGGAACCATCATCAAGAGGGCAAGTGAGCACATTGAGCAGAGATCCAGCTGAACATGCCACAAAATCACTCACCCCCTGCCATGGAACCAACATCATGAGTGCCAGTGAGATCATTGAATAGAGATCCAGCTGAACATGCCATGAAATCACTCACCCCCTGCCATGGAACCAACATCATGAGTACAAGTGAGATCATTGAGCAGAGATCCAGCTGAACATGTCATGAAATCACTCACTGCCTGTCATCCCACCAACATCAAGAGTGCAAGTGAAACTATTGAACAGAGATCCAACTAAACAAGCCATGAAATCACTCACAAACTGTCATGTCACCAACACCAAGAGTGCAGTGATGCCATTGAGCAGAGATCCAGCTGAACATGCCATGAAATCACCCACCCCCTGCCATGCCACCAACATCAAGAGTGCAGTGATGCCATTGAGCAGAGATCCAGCTGTACATATCATAAAATCACTCACCCGCTGTCATGTCACCAACACCAAGAGTGCAAGTGAGGACATTGAGCAGGGGTCCAGCTGAGCATGCCATGAAATCACTCACAAACTGTCATGCCACCAACATCAAGAGTGCAAGTGAGGTCACTAAGCAGAGATCCAGCTGAAATGCCATGAAATCTCTCACATGCTGTCATGCAACCATCATCAAGAGCACAAGTGAAGCCATTGAGCAGATATCTGGCTGAACATGTCATGAAATCACTCACATCCTGCCATACCACCAACATCAAGAGTGCAAGTGAGGCCATTGAGCAAAGTTCCAGTTGGATATGGCATGAAATCACTCACATCCTGTCATGCAACCATCAACAAGAGTGCAAGTGAGGCCATTGAATAGAGATCCAGCTGAACATGCCATGAAATCACTCACATCCTGCCATGCAACCATCAACAAGAGTGCAAGTGAGGCTGTTGAATAGAGATCCAGCTGAACATACCACAAAATTACTCACCCCCTGTCATGCCACCAACATCAGGAATGCCAGTGAGGCCATTGAGCAGAGATCCAGCTGAACATGTCATGAAATCACTCACTGTCTGTCATCCCACCAACATCAAGAGTGCAAGTGAAACTATTGAACAGAGATCCAACTAAACAAGCCATGAAATCACTCACATACTGTCATACCACCAGCATCAAGAGTGCAGTGAGGCCACCAAGCAGAGATCTAGCTGAACATGCCATGAAATCACTCACCCACTGTCATGCCACAACATCAAGAATGCCAATGAGGCCATTGAGCAGAGATCCAGCTGTACATGCCATAAAATCACTCACCCGCTGTCATGTCACCAACATCAAGAGTGTAAGTGAGGACATTGAGCAGAGGTCCAGCTGAGCATGCCATGAAATCACTCACCCCCTGTCATGCCACCAACATCAAGAATACAAGTGAGGCCATTGAGCAGACATCCAGCTGAACATGCCATGAAAATGCTCACCCCCTATCATGTAACCAACATCAAGAGGGCAGTGAAGCCATTGAGCAGAGATCCAGCTGAACATGCCATGAAATCACTCACATGCTGTCATGCCACCAACATCAAGAGTGCAAGTGAGGCCATTGAGCAGAGAACTGGTTGAACATGCCATCACCACTCACCCACTGTCATGCCACCAACATCAAGAGTGCAAGTGAGGCCATTGAGCAGAAATCCAGTTGAACATGCCATCACCACTCACCCACTGTCATGCCACCAACATCAAGAGTGCAAGGGAGGCCATTGAGCAGACATCCAGCTGAACACACCATGAAATCACTCACATACTATTATCCCACCAACATCAAGAGTGAGTCCACTCAGGAAATTCAGCATGCCATTAATTACCCACCCTCTGTTGATTCATGCCAGTGAATACAACATAGGAGCATCATTGACTCCATATGTTAGCAGAATTTGGCCACTTACATTACAATTGGGAAACCATTTCAGCAGCTCAAATCCAAGCTCTTTTGGATCCACCTGCAATCTTCCCACAAAACCCAACTCCATTCTGGTCCTCAATGTCCTTCAGAAGATCAGTCCCTGTGACAAAACACACTTGCTTACTTACTTTTGCACAGCATACTGAACACATAGTGCAATACTTGACTGCTGGGTTGAGATAAATAACCTTTGTAAACCTTCCTCATTCAATACATTTGCTGTGCACTGCATCAAAGCACTGTAGTCTGCACTCTCTTGATGCATCTCTGCCAAAGTTTCTAGTAGCACTATCTCTGAGTAATGAAATACCCACTCTGAAGTGACACATATCCTTTAGGTGGAAAGTTGCATTTGCCAAGCTCATGTTTTATGTGGTCAAGCCACCTTTCCAACAGCTCTCCTTGCATTCCTGCAGCCCTTTCTTTTGCCTCAGCTATGGCCACACCTTCATCCAGAAGCCCCCTAAGTGCAGGAAGGTACAAGGCATCCACCTTTGTCAACAGCACTATCACAGGAACTAAGCAGATGGTTAGTCACATGCAATCATATCTGTAGTGGAAGTATTGTTACCATGTCCTGTGTCACACTCATTGAAGAATTTCTGCTCAGCTGCAGTTACTGTCCTGTGGTAATCTGTCATGGGGATGCAAAACCTATATTCACCTGTTCCCTTAGCTTGCAGTTACTCACAATATATTCCTTACCAGATGGCATGGATTCGTTCCTTCACACTCTTTGTGGCTGCACGGTCAACCACAAAGTGCTTCATCTGGTCAAACTGTTTTGTGGCACCTGCTTCAAACCCACAGGAATCATGGAACACAAAGCCTGGGTTACTCTGAAACATGAGCTCATTCTCAATATTATGGTAGCCACGCTGGGAGCACTCAGCATCACTGTGAATTTCCACAAGTCAATATAACATCTTACCGTCAAAGTGCCTTGAACAACAGCACCCTCGATCTGAAATTGTTAAATAGGTTTCACGAACCCTATAGGACCATACCTTATTTCCTTTCCCATCGAAGATCTCTGGCTTTTCGGTAGAGTTGCAGACTCTTTGAAGGACAGTGGTTTTACCAGCATTCGCTCGGCCCATAACCAGAATCCGAAAGCGCTCGATGTTTTTCATGTATTCTTGAGCCATCTCAGGATTGAGACGGTAAGGAGGTCCAGAAGACGCAATCGCTATGGCTCGGTATTAGGCAATTTGGATTTCATCAGGGGCGACAATAATACCTTGGGGAGTCGCTTCACTCTGAGCAGGGACTGGAACCGTCACATCACCAACAACAGCACTAGCTTCTGTGTCCCCATATCAAGTATCTCATATTTCGTAGGCTAGAACAATAACATACCTGCAGCCGTAGCTTCAGTTGCGGCAGGAGCTAAACCACTCGGACCGCTTTGGCGGGCATGACGAGAATCACTGCCGAGCGACTTCAACCACTTTTTAATACGACCAGGAGTCATGTCAATATGAGATACGATTATGTGTGCTTCAGAACGCAGAGCTTAAGATGTGTGGAGGATCAGCGCAGCGTGCAGCCCGTCGTCGTGGTATCGACTCGCAGCAGGTCGATCGATATCGAGGCGCCTATCTTCTTGCACGTAGCGCACGTGCTTATGTAATCCAGACAGCCTGACGACGTTTACCCCCACCATCACAGCTTCAATCCCTTCGCAAGGCAAATATAAATATCCCTGAGCATGCCTACTATGCTCCGACGTCCAACATCCAACAGACTCTGAGAAATATGGATGTCCAAACTGCGAGGAAATCATCTCTTTCTGTTCACGAGACCTCAAACATCCGATTTTTATGCCTCGTTCCGTGAAACACATGAAGAGGCCTATGAACAGCATATCCGTTTGTACGATCACCTACTTTGATGGAATTATTTCCCTCATCGATCCTGTGTTTAGTTGGGTAGCACGATAGCAGAGACCATGTGAGGCTTGTTTGCCTTTCAGTTCGCCTGACGGTTTTTTTTGCTTTGGTGTTGAAAGCAAAATGTATGCTATCGCAGTCAAAGGTCGTGTTCCGGAAGATGTAGAAGCAGACCTCAAGAGTCGTGGTATCAAACATCGACTGAACAACCATACAGATCAGGACTATTTCGCAGTTATGCACATCCCTCGTTCTTTCCTAGCTTCGTCTTCCCCTTTGCGATCAGATTGACTCCGTTTTTCAGAGTTATATTGTTGTCCTATGTATGGCATCTATTTCTGTGCTTATGCTGCTTCGTGCAAAGCCTTACAGATCGAACTACTGCTTTCCGCTCCCGTTCGACGTGTAAATGTATATTAATGTCGGGGTCTCGGACCCCCTACGAGTCGCCGCTTGTCTCTGTACTACTCAAAAGTAACCTGGCTGACGTGACTTGCATGCTTCGTTAGTTAACTTGTTTCCAAACGTCCAATGAACATGGTGAGCGATGGGCGTTGACACTCTGCACTTGAAAGACGTCGGGAATGATGCGGGGTTTGCGTGATAAAAGAAAGCATAAGCGTCTTCATGGTGTTGTGCTAGGACAGGGTATTCAAGTGCGATCGAACCTGCGCGGCAAAAAAAAAAAAAGCCATATGCATAGTAAGTTGCAATTCATGACAACTGTGGGTGGAGACGGATTGGCGCGAGCAGTCAGCGAATGAAAGGGTTGTTTTGAGGGTCGGAAAACCGGCCGTGTATGCAGTGTGGGCTTCAGTACCCGATATCGACCTAATGCGGTTGTCGTACATTTATACTTTGCAGCCCATTTTCAAGATTTTACTAGCTCATTACTCTCGAAGGTTATCACCGTACATGTAAAGGAAAGCTCATCACAACTGCAGCGCCTCCCTCTCGAGTGCTTGTGGGGAATGCGCTATTTACTTTCGTCTGCACGGAGCGTTAGTCGCAGAGGTCACTGAGTGAACGCAGTATTCTAACCTCTAATATAAGCCACGGTTCTCTGGCTGGCAGAACACTAAGTAAATGCCCTCCGTTGTAGTACAGCCAACGGTGATCGTCGAGCTTAGCCAGTACTCGTCTTATACGACCTTTGCTATTCATTTTCGTGTTGCTTAAGTCGACCGTCTCTGCTGCAGTGTGATCATACTGAACGAAACTTTGAGCATTGTGTGGCTTCAGGGGCTATTTGTTCGTTTTTGTTGTTGTCCAAATAGATCAAAACACGTCTTCGTTAATGGTTAGTGTAGAGCGAGAACAAAGGCATAAGACGAGGATGCTCGGCTAATTTCCCCTCTCCCTCTCCTCCTCACCGCTGCCCGTCCAGGCGTCCTCTCCTTTACGCTGATCGCTGGAAGATCATACATTCAGTCTGGGAACTTTTTATGACCTCGTCATGGCCTTGGATTCTTTTCCTATGTTCTTCACCGTTCGCGCCATCACATTCAGTGCGTAGTCTGGTGGCATCCAACCCGTCTCACGTTGTTCATGCGTTTTCTTCAGCTTGCATCGTCTTTCTGGCCTTGGTCTGGCTAATACTTGTATCCGTCGAGATGTTCACTCGGTGGAACATCTCAGACGCTACTTCCCGTATGTTCCCTGGTACAGTCATCCGTACTTCAAATGGCTGAGTTGTTGTATCAGAATCGTTAATGTTCGTCCTCATACTCACGAACGCAGTAACCATCTTCATTCCACCAGTCTTGTGAGTTGTAAACAGGCGTGTTTTCCACGTGGTTGAACTGACTGATGTTTCGCAGGTTGATACTCGAGTTTCGAATATGGCTTGACGCCGCACGCCTCTTATTGATATTTGTTCTGCAGACAGGTACGTGGCATCACCACTGTGCAAAGTGTGTCCTGAAACCATCACCAGGCGCTGCTATCGCTTTCACGTGTTGGAGTCCCCAGATTCAATGTCCAGATCAAAGTACGCCGCGTTTTCGTGCCCATGATAATTGTACCTTACCTAGTTTCCCTGGTCAGCTGCCGATGACATGGGCGTATGCAAGCTCCTCAACGCATACACTGTCATGGCATGCTGGATCATTCCGACCATCTGTAAGCGGTGTCTACCTGTAACTTGTTGCGTATCTGATTTTTGTGAAACAGCACTGTTCTACATCGTCTACTTTGTCATCGTGGTGTATATGCAGTCTCGGATGCCTGACACCGTAGATTCGCCCATAGTTGTTCCTTCTTCGGCACAGCCATCAGTACTTCCAATTATGGACCCAGAAATGGGGGAGAAGCGGTGTTCGATTGTTCGGGGGTCGTCGGATTCTGGGCCAAACACTCGGAGCCGTTCATCACAGCCTGGGCCGCCATTACTGCCGCTTGTACTCCCTCAACGCCAACTCACGCTTCCAGTGCAAAGCCAGTCAGTTTCTACGAGCCCGCAGCGTCACAGATCCCTACCCGCAACCCATCACCTTACGGGGGGCCCCGCCCCACGACGAACCACGACCCTTTCCATTCCAGCACCTCTAGCACCACAGTCGCAATTCCAACCGGTTTCTAGACCATCGTCGCATCTACAAGCAGGCGTTGTGGGTTCGCGACCGCCGGTGCGACATTTGTCGATGATACCACCACCCAGCAAAAGTAGATCTTTTTCATCCGAAGCGGGGAGTTCCCCGATCACCGAGAGTCCCACAGCGCGATCCGTACTCTTCAAGGCTGGACCTTCGTACCTCATGTAGCTGCATAATGGAACATGTTGTATTATTAGCAAATGTGTAACTAATAGACCCCAATATACTACCATGTACTTCCACTGCAGAAAGAAGTGGTAGTGTACACACGGCACGATGACGGTTTCTTGGCACGGCTTACACTGGCTTTTCGGTCAGAGGACGACTCCCTTTGAGCTCTACATGAATATTCGATATCCGCCTCTGTGGGTACCGTTATCCGCGGATGCGAGGCGTTGTGGACAGCACGGACAGGCGACAAGTGTGCTGTTGACTGGCGTTCCGCGACGAACTCGAGCCCGGGGTGAAAACAGATACTGTAACTACACCCAAGATTTGAAGTATTCAGAAATAGGCTAAATGAAACACAAACATTTACGAAACAAAATGTTCTAAGGTAGATCAGAAAACAAAAGAAGAAACGCACGAACGGCGGGGAGAGTGACTGCCTGAGGCATACACGGTGGCTGCGCGCGCGCGAACCGTCGCCCTCCAGAGGCTACCTCGGAAGACGAGGACTTCTTTTGCTGCAGCTATAGGACAGGAACAGTGAAATTTCGGCCAGGCGACTTGTGATAACCCGGGAGGAAAAACCCTGACTGAAAACAATAGCCAAGCGAAATAACGAAACACGACAGAAACTGCGGTAGTATTCGCCTAGAGCAGATATTGAGGCAACATCCGAGCTTGAAAGTGCATCCCTCAGCTTGGACGAGTGCTGGGCATGGTATCTCTCGGTCCGTGAACCAGTCATTCAGGACCGGTGCTATCGCGCGTGACGCTGGACCCAGCTGCGTCTAGGAATAAACGGCGGCATTTGCTCCTGGTCCGTGGTTCTCCTAGCAGCCATTCCCAAATTTTGGACATTCCTCGAGAGGCCATAGTGCAAAGGAAAATGCTTCTTGTGCTTTCGGTGATTACATAACAACTCAAGTACTCGTGTTCGATGTTCGGAAGCAACTGGCTTCTACAGAGGCCGCAACTTCGGGGGATGACCCGTGCACGATCCTATCATATACGACGCAATGAGTCTAATTGATGATCGAATTATGCAGATTACAACTATCATGTATAATGCACCTGACCTTGTGCCCAAGTTCGTCTTCCCGGATAGCAGGGTATAACCAAAACTAAAGTGAGACAACTGAATCGTAATGACATGTGGGGGATGCAATGTATTCCGTCAAATAGAGCGGGCCCGAATGCATATTAACAGAATGCGAACTTCAGGGCCTGGAAATCTCGGAGCGGGCATCGAATTAAAACTCATCCGCGGTAAAATCGCTCAGAGGTACCGATGCGAATTCCATCCTCGACCCCGCGCCGGTGAATATTTGAGTATTGATTCCGTCGGAGACTGCGTCTTGCAATTTGAAAAGGATCCGGGACCCCAACACCCCGTGAAGAATGCCCTGAAAGCTGTTGGTGATCCGTCCAGTGTCAGGCGCTCTGAGTATATATGATCTGGCACGGACTCACGTAATGAAAACACCATGCCAATCGCCTGTGAGCTGTTGCACGGTATATCAGTACTCGGTTGAGAAGAAAACCAAAATCAACCCACCGGCGAAGAAACAAATATGATATTAACAATCGAAGTCGCTGTGAAACGAGTTATCTTGAGAAGTTGATCATTGGTTGACAATCGCCATTAACTTACCAAACAGTGAGATCGCGTATAGCATATTCCCATGTGTCACGGCAGCCACGAGCCTAGTGGGAGTACACCGACCAGTTCTTGCATGCGACCTCAATGTGTAGAGGAGAGTGTAAAGTATCACGACTGACTAGCATCAGCGACGGGCTCTGATTGGTCAACGACGAGTATGTATGGAGACGTACCAAGTTCGAAGAAGGCTGCGCTCACGAAGATCCCTACCGTAACTTGGTTGGTCGATGCCGCAGACGAGGCGTCTGTTCCGCCGCAAATACCCTCGAATTTCAGGCTACTGGGTACTATAATGCAGACAAGCATAACAGTCGCCACTAACTTCGCTCATTGTACATTTGTTCCATGACGAGAATAATAAGAAGGACAGGACTCACGACGTATGTCCCGATTAAAATTTTCCGGGCAGTACTCTGGGAATGCCAGAGGGCCAGCGTTCGCATTAGGAGTAACCCTAGCATTTGGGACTATGCTTCAGCAGATTGCGCTCTATAAATCTGCTAGCAACATACCTTCTGATGCTACCATCCCAAAGTAGAGTATGACTAGAGGCGGATAGTTAGTATGACGAAAGGGAATGTTGGTAATTGATGCATGAGAACAAATGCCACTGACTTGCTGCAGCCCAGTACAAAGCTATACACTTAGCTGAATGAGATTTAGTGCAGGGATATGAGGAATAACTAACAGTATGCACCGTTTCTTCCGGATCAGTAGTAACCAGCGCAGCTATCCGGAACTCAGGCTGCTTAGTATATGGTTGCAACGACGCACGCACTGTACACAGCCATTGCAGTACCTATGATCGGAAAGTGTCTCGTTGGGATGTATAGCAGGTGAGTATATCCCCAGCGTTTAGGGCGAGTTAGCAGGCGTATCTAATGAACTGTTCAGAATTGAGTATGAGTGAGAAGAAGACGGTTAACTTACTTCGCCATCTAGTGTTAGGAGGGTGTCCAATACCTAGGCAAATGATAAACATGTCTAATCTCGAGATGAAGATACGCAACATACCCAGATCGAAACGGGTGCGACTATAATAGTGTCAATTCAGTATGGAGTTCATTGATCATCAACCAACCCAAAATAGAGTACCTCGACAGTACTGCAGGCACTCCGCCTTAGTAGTGTATCAGAAGACACGTTTTGGTTGCCTTCACGTACTTTTACAACCTGCTGCTGGTAAAGCAATTGAAGATATGTTGATGATGGACTGGACATCCTTTTGGCAGCCTCGAAAGACAGGCAGAAACGATTCCTCGAGGGATTAAATAGCCATGCACACTGCTCGGTACGGCCGCGCAGACGAAGCACGCATCCGGTGCAAAAGGTTCCGATGACATTCTAACCAGAGCGGGCTTACCATGGACATAACCATTCTGGGAAAAAACCCCACGACGATCAATCAAATAGACTGACCCTGCTATGCGTTTCATGATCAGGTTGTAGTCTGAATTAATAATGGGCCGTGCACTACTGTGCTCCCGTGTAGCTAATAGTCGATATTTCGTGAGCTTGTTGACAGCGGAGTCGGTGCACAGCGCTGCTGTGTATTATTATCCGTAAGACACGTTCCTCAGCCGCCTAGACCCCTCGGAGATTGGGCTGACTGTTTTTCCACACTGCGTGGGAGTCGGGCAAGAACTTTGCTTTGCCTGGATAGCATGAGGCTGTCTAAAACCTATCACACTTCATCCAAAGTCTCAAGCTGGACCTGTCATGTTGGATAGACGTTCTAGTCCCACCTTAGAGTTACGGGGGTAAACCGCCCGGTAAGTTCTACTCTTTGGACGCATTGGATCGACGTCTCAAGGCCAATAAGAGTACCTCCAACCTTGACAAGTCGATAGCAAGTAATGCTTTTCTTTGTTAGAGGTCACCAGTGGTATGGGGAGAGGACATACCCAGTGCCTTCACTCCGAGTTCCAGGGTTGCGCCATGGGCGAAATACTTGTCTTCCTAGGCACATGAAACAGAGTTCGACCACCAAGCAGCGCCCTCAGTGATCCATGGTAATAGAGTGGTTAACCAGCCACAGGTCAAACTTTGCTGATCGCATCAAATCTCACTTCCACAGTGGACATTCCCCAACGAGGACTTCCTGCTTTACTTCAGTCCCTCGAGATTCCGAGTTAGAATTTGCCTGGAAGACATACAAGCATCATAAGACGAAGTTACAGTATGTACACAGCCGCTGTCGACGCTTGCGCCGACAGGATGATGATTCGCGACTCAAGACTACATCGTGTTCTTGTGGCCTGTTACACAACAGGGATCCTGAGTACCTAAATGATGGTCCCTGCTCATCGCAATGAGTGGGAATGAGTAGCGATGCCTTATAGGCAAGCGGGCCGCACAAATGACTCCACAGAGGGCGAATCGTGAAGCTTGAAGTGCGAGAGGAGCCATGAGAAGATAAACGGCCGTAATGAGGCCCGATGGTGACAGTACGATGCCGGTGAAGTTCCAATCCATTTCTGCGCCACCAAACCCCCGCCCGCCACGCCGACAATGCGTGTGTTGACTAATAGGGATGTCCCACGGGTAGTGCTGTTGGTTGAAGTGCCTTCCTATAAACGAGTACAGTTAATTACATGAGTTCAGTGGACAACAAATCGCGTTTCAACAAGTGCTACGGCTCCAGACATCCAGGCCACCTCACAGCAGAGGCCATGAAGTACAAGAAGGGCCGGTTCGGAGAGAGGAAATTCAGTTGCTGTGTTGAAAGCAACGATATTAGGAATGCCCAAGACACTCTTCAGTCCTTGCAGGGCTTCGTTTATTTGATATATGTGTGCCCTGTTGGCAGATATTAAGAGGCGCACGAGGGAAAACATCACGGATTTAGGCACAAGTAAAGATCAGAAAAGTAGCGGTGGTAGTCAGAGTGCAACGCGTTGATGTTCTAGAGCTGACGGAATGTTTTCTAGGCAACTCCTCAGCGATGTTGACATCAACGAAGGTCAATAAGAACGCCAGGATGCCTGTAGAATGGGTGTCTTGAGTTAGCACAAGGAGATAGCCGTAAGTACCCATTCGCAGTGGTCGTTGTTGCCACCTTCGATCCTTATAATATACGCTTCTAGGATGATGTACACAACTTGCAGGATTGCGAAGCCACCCTTTCCACTAAGCGTACACCGATTGTTATCGTGATCCTTTGCCTTTTTCGACACGTCAGAGGGAAAGGTCTGCAGGACTTGCATGGAAACGTACAATCACCTGCGAGTTGTGATATCTTACACTGCTATCCTGCGTTATAGCCCTAGGATATTGTCCGACTTCTTCGAACGACGGGGATGGAAGTGGGGGAGAGAAGGGTCGGACCGTGAGGGAGAAGAGGGCTCGGACGGTGGAGAAGGGGAGGGTTCAGACTCAGATAGTGGGGAAGCTGGTCCACACTTCTGCGTAACTGTGAAAGGACCAGTAAGTGATGTTAGACAGCAAAAGGGGGCAAGGCGGAGAGTTACAAGTGCAGATGAAATGCCTGGTATAAACCCTAGCTATCTCCATGAGCTTTGCATCATTTAACGCCGAGGTGATCCCCCCTTGAACCTGTCCCTCGCCATCACCGGAGGCCAAGTACAACAAATGGGGCGCATATGATCGGGGGAAGACAGTAGGGAGGAGAGAGAAGATTGGCGATGGCCTTGAGTACGAAGCATCGTTGGTATGCAACATGCTGTCTCAGACGATATCTCCACGAAAATAGGTGGGGTAAAACCCGGTAGCCTAATAATAGGGGAATACGATGATTTGTTCGGAAAGGCCCCCGGAAAGCCGTCATCGTGCACATTTCTTGTCCACTTCCATTCCAAAATACGGCTCGCGTTGAGGAAGCAGACAAAACCGCGACGCTGTACCATTTGATGGTCCGTCTGTCTGTTTCGAAGCATCCAACGATCTATCATGCTGATTACCAGGTCAGTCCACTGACACTCGTCCATCCGGATGAACTGCTTCATGTTCCGGAGAAACATGGCCTTATTGGTCACGGACCGTTTAGCAGGGAACTGGTGCTCCATAGGCTTTACATCATCCGCCACTGAGGTAGGAAATCACCTCAACGACGTGTGATGTAAAGTCCGCAAGAAATGTATCAGGTAATTTCTTACCTTGGAGACCTGAGTATGATTTGTTTGGCGACGGCCTTGGAACCAAACAATCACTCGCTAACGTAATCCAAGCTAATAAAGTTCACTCACTGCAGAAACGAGATTCTGTCAGTACAGTAAATAGATCGTGGAAGGTGGTTTGTGTGTAATACAGATGTGGCTAACTGTATTCCTCGACCAAATTTGACTGTCAGGAATATCTGGGAGCTTTTCTGTATGAAATCCAGACTTCGTGAAATCCACTTGAGCCTTCATCCATAAACCAGTAGTTGGTCTAAACCTGTCACCAACTGGTCGTGACCGTAATTTGCAAGCATGAACAAAAAATGGTTTTGAAACCTCACAACAAGTCAGAAAACAGTCTACAACCAAGATTTGTCATCCATGATGCAATGACAGGATGAGATCCACAGATCTCATTATCTTCTGTATTTTATTTGATAATAAGATTATCACTCATGCCATCCATCTACTCATTTTTCAGATTGATGCTGACAAATCAATCAAGAATTGGAGGCAAGCAGAAAGATACAAAATGGATGCTACATCTCATAAGTATAATCGTAAGAAAACAGTTCATATCCTTTGACACCCATGGACCAGCTTACAGAAGAGCTGGGTCCGGCCTGCAACATGCTCCCTGATGCACTCTCCTCATGCAATGTAGTTCAATGAACGATGGGTATGGCTGTTGTGGGGGGGATGACAGTATGCAATGTACTTGTGAGGTGGCTTTCATAAGCTGCAATCTTGTGCATGGGGGGGATATAAACCATATTCAGTTGTTTTTTTGGGGAATGTAAGACATTTGCAGGTTTCATTTTCTCCCTAGTCCAGTGTGTCAATTAGCTCATAGAAATACACATAGAGTACTCACAATCCACATTGATGAAGCCACAGCAGACGGTGATTAACCACTGTGCTGATAGCAGGGTTCTGAGTTGCTTTGAGAAGAGAGTGGTAGTACACTTCATATATGGGTGAATGCTCAGTGCCTGTGAATGCAGTGTGTGGAAACATTTCTCTGACATGCTCAGATTCACATTTGATAGCATAAAACAACTAATGGCTGTGAGCTTTTGAAAAGTTATTAGTAAATGTACTTACTGCTACAGCGGTTAGGGCATACATCCACAATGGTGTTGTGTGTATATCCTTGGTGTTGGAGATATATTCTCCCCTGTGTTCTGCTCACTTTGGTGCGATGTTTGGGTGCTTACATAATCACCTTAGAGCGCACATTTTACAGTAGTTTATTCACTGTTCCCTCAGTAGCTTGTTGCACTACTGAGGGTAAGCTCACTTTCACTACCAGTATTATACTTACTGATGTCCTGTAGATACCTACAGGTTGGTCTAATACATTAGTAGCTTGTTGCACTACTGAGGATACCTACAGCATCCTTCAAAACTTGGCAGCTCCAACCTTCATGGGAGTCAGCTTAGCAGTATACCAGAAGTTAATGTGGAAATCTTCGTGGTGTTGGTTTCCATACCAATGGACAATTTTCCCCTGAGAAATAATTGTAAATGTCCAAATGGTATGCAGCATAAGTATGACTTACATCTGTGTCATGCTCATACATGAAAAAAGAGGTAAAAGCACTTCTGTTGGTGATACCCACACATATGTTGTTTTTCCACTGAATAATGGCCTCGTCTGTGAAGAGCCTTGTATCATCATTCATGAAAAACATCTTGGCATAAGGACTGGCCTTTCCAGCCAATTCTGCATGAAAAAGTGTTAGTGATTTCATCAGCTGGTAGTATATTAAATTAGTATAGCTTGAGCACATTCATATCAACAATCCTTACCAAGGATTCTATCCCTGTTGTGGGCAAGAGCACTTCTGCAGGGGGGGGGATTAAGTACTGTAAGATGTGAGACAAGATATACTGTACCTCCTGGTATGATTGCTGATGCTTGTGAAAGGATTTCACATATCATTGATTTCCATTGCCTCCAAGCAGTCTTGCCTGGAGACATTACAGGCCAGCTGATCTTGATGACCATCTCATATATCATCAGTAGCTGTGCATGACCGAGTATGTCTTGATCTCTGTTGGAGAACTCATGCCAGTTTGAAGGGCCACTGGCTTTCTGGTGAACTTGTGGTCTGCTGTCATCAGAATATGCTGACATAAGACCTGACTGAGCGACCAATGTGAGGGAGCTGCTGTGAGATGAATGATGTGAAGTATACACATGAGGATATAGAGTTGCTGAATAGCCAGAGATGCTCCTGGGATGGAGCTCTTGGACCTCAGTGACCCTGGTGCTTCTCTAGGACATCAACATCCTTTCCTTTGGTCTGTCAGATGAATGAGAATTGTAGGCATGAATATACAACCAATTGGGCTCACCACAATCATTGTGGAAGTGGCCTGCAGCCTGTCATCCACCAGGGTCGATGAATCCTGAGATAGCACAATCAAGACCTCAGTGGGCAGTCCAGAGGAGTAACCAGATGCAGGCAATCCAGTAAAATACTGTGCATGTTCAGGCTTGAAGGTAGGGAGGCCCACTGCAAAGGATGTCGAAGGCCCTGGGATTCCACTACTGGGGATTGCTTGGGAGAAAGGTTCGAGAGCTGAGGTGGGGGGTGGTCCATTGTATGGGTTGGATTGGAAGGGTGGGACAGGGCTGCCAGTGGGTTCATTTGTACTGGTGGTTGGACATCCATGCCTACAAGCTTGGGAAGGCCTAGTTCGAGAAGCATGTCACCCTTGAGGCTGAGAACCTTGGGGAAAGCCTTGTCTTTCAGCCAGTGGGATATAGAAGGAAAAGAAAGCACATACATGTAGCCATACCAATTCCAATGATGAGAACTAGGATGACTTGGGGAAAAGCACAGGTTTGCAAGACTTTTATGGTTGGGCCCCTTGATATCAATTGACCTCTTTGAGGAAAATGGGGAACTCACAGATGTTATCTGGCCCCACCCCAAATCCCATCGGGGATGAAAGGACCGTATGGAGGAGATCGATATTTGGACATGTAGGGCAATTGCAGACAGTGTGATCTAGGAATTTCATTGCTGTGGTTCTCAATGTTCTGGAAGGATGGCTGGCATTTCATTTGTCACACATGACTCAAACTACATGCTAATGCTAGAAATTGTATATCATTTATTGCCCAGTCACTTGCCAGTCACATCGTATCATTGTACATAAGTACAGGGAAAAGGGTGAAATGAAATCGAGATGAATATAAATCTACACATCTGGTGGACCAGGAGAGGCCAAGGTGCTGTGCTCAACAGAGATGCCATCCAAAGATGACTCAGATAATGTAGTAGGGACAGGGGACAGCCTGAGAGATGAAAGAGTAGTGATGGTTGTCCTGCTGCTGCTAATGGTTTGTTGCACTTCACCAACTTGGTGATCTACAGTCCCAAGCAGCTTAAGGGCTTCTTCATACTCATCATAGGCAATTGTGCACATAATGTCAAGTTCATGAATCCACATCAGGCATAATTTGACTTGTGCAGCAAAGGCCTTGTGACTTGCATGGGCAAGCTGTAACATATGAAGGGTGTGAAGATCTTCAACCTCTTCATCTCTCTTGGCTGATATCTAGTTTGTGAGCATGAAGATTCCAGTGAGGATATTTGCACAAAGTACTCACAGAGGTCAAGATTTTCCTTGCCTTCTTAGATGGGTGAGAGTGCTCATCTGAAGGCAAAGAAAATGTGAAGCTGCGTTTCTGACAGGCATGACCATTGTTCTTTGGAAAACCATTGGATATAGTGTCATGTTGCACCTTCATTTGGATTGGATGAGTGTGTGAGTTCATAGATGAAGGCGATGTAGTTGGAAGGACAACAGAAGAAGAAGAAGGTACTTCAATTGAACCGAGATATTCTGTGGGTGACAACATTGGCAATGAGAGGGGCGAGAGCAGCTGAAACTAAGCTGAAATCAAAGGGAGGGAGGCAGAGAACGGAGCTAAACTGACCCTAACCCTAATGTGCAGGGCATTCTCAGCAGCTGAGTGATGCCATTGACCACCATGCCTTCTATGACCATGACAGGACTTGCACCACCCCTGATTGTATTATCCTATGACTGCCCTGCAGACCCTCAACTTTTTTGCCCATGCTGCAGCTGTGAATTTCCTGATGCTGATGATGTAATTCTACATCTCTCTAGTGGCTGCCAATGTGGATGTTGGGCAGTAGAAGCTCTTCCAAACCTTGATGACACAGATCCACTACAAGGCAATGACTACAGTGAAGGCAAGGATGCAGCACAGGATGGTATGTGTACAAACCCTATGTGTATGAACCTGGGGCATTAGAGAAGCTCCTCCTTGTTGCACACAGATCAACCACAAGGCAATGACTATGACACTTTCAATATACCCGACCCATTCAAGGACAAGGAAGGCAATGCACAGACTGCATTTTTTGTGGAGACTGATAACACAAATATTCCCAACCCTTTCAAGGATAATGAAGGCAATGTGCAGACTGCATTTTTCATAGAGAATGGTAATACCCCCACTAACTGCTCCAGTTTTGTCTCTTCACCACATTGAGTCTCTACGATCAACCACCACCAGAGGGTCTATCACCCAAATCCACCTGCAAGCTGTGCAGATGGCATGAACCTTCTTCATCATGTGGAGATGGATGAATATGCTCCTATCTGCAACTCTGAAAATATCTATTTCCCTTTTGCATCAAAAAGTGAATGGGAGCTTGCAGATTGGCTCTCGAGAGGTGCGTTATCTCAGAAAGACATTGACACATACTTGCGTCTTGAGCATGTGAGTATATGACCCCTTTTGATAGTTATCATACTTATGAGATCTTTTGGTAGAACTTGGCCTTCCCTGTCTCTTTCATGAGTGCTAAAGATCTCCATTGCTGCATAGAGTCACTGCTTGGTGTACCCTGCTGGCGATATCAAGAAATCAAGGTCAAGAACTATCCTACACAGTCACTGATAATGTTGTACTGGCATGATGGACTTGAGGTTGTGGAGCACCTGTTCAGTAACCCTGTATTCACACAGTGTATGGATATCTCTCCATACAAGGAGTTTGAAGTTATGGCTGAAGGCCAAGAACAAGTATATGGGGGATTTATGAGTGCTGATGATGCATGGCACATACAGGTTAGTCACCAGTGACCTCTATTGATTAGCAAGAGTGGCTGACTGATGTGTGTGATAGGACCAACTCCCCTGCAGTCATTCCTTCCTGGGGGTGATTGGTGCATCAGATAAAACACCTCTGACAATAGGAACGGGGAATAAAGAAATGCACCCTCTATTACTTTTGCTTGTGAACATACATGCTGGAGTACATATGAAAGCTACTTCTCATGCATTCGCACTGGCTGCCTATCTGCCCATCCTGAAATTCTGCAATGTACCACCGGCCATTCAGGCCATGCTATCTGCATGCATCTATCACTTTTCCATATCCCTCGTCATGTGGAATCTGATTATTGCCAATTGTGACAGCAAAGAAATGTCCGATCCATTAGGAAATTGTTGAGTCATGCATACCCCTCTCATTGCCTGGATTGCCAACTATCCTGAACAGCTTCTGATCACTTGTGTCTCAGCAAAGAATTCCCCCATTTCACTAGCAATGGCAGAACAGTTCAGAGCCCCCCCATGATTGTGAGTACAAGCTTCAGAAGATACAACAGGCTGCCGCTGCATGTGATCCACACAATATTGTTGCATTCCACAAGGTTTGTCTTGCCCTCCATCTAAATGGTGTCATGGAGCCATTCTGGAAAGATTGGGGGCATACATGTCCCTCCCACTTTCTCACCCCCAATGCCCTGCACCAGTGGCACAAGTTCTATTTTGATCATTGTGTATACTGGGTAATCAATATCATAGGGGGTGAGGAACTCGATCACTGCTTAGCTGCCCTGCAGCCAAGGATAGGGACTAGGCATTGGGTGAATGGTGTCTCCACCCTCAAACAGTGCACCAGTCAAGAACACTGCAAACTGGAGAAATTGCTTCCTGCTGTGGCAGCAGGGGTGTTGCCTGATGACATGCTTTGTACCTTGTGTGCCATCACCGAGTTCATCTTTCTTGCCCAAGGTATCTCCCATTATGATGAAACCATTCATAGTCTCAGTGAAGCCCTTTGTGAATTCCACCATTACAAATCCAGCATTCTCAGGGCACATGGCTGTCTTGGGAAGAACAGCCCCCTTGACCACTTTCAAATACCAAAAGTTGAACTAACTCAGCACATTGCATGGAGCATTCATCAGATGGGTGCCCCTTATCAATGGACCAGTGACATCACTGAACATTGCCACATAACTCATGTCAAGGTGCCCTACCATTTATCAAATTGCTGAGATTACCATGCCCAATGTTGCCATTTCCTTGATCGACAAGAAAAACAATGCTTTTTTCTGCCTTTTTACTGCTCTGAAATCTTCAGCATCGCCACTTTTCTTTGCAATGATGGACAAAGCCAGACTTATGGCGATTCACTTCCCAGAGGCTAGTTGGGTTTCTGGTATGTTACCCAGCAAACATTATGTTGGCTCTGTCTGCTCGCAGAAGTCCATATTTGATAACCCCTGTTCACATGTATCTGCAACAAATGCCACAGTGCTTCTCCTTATCATTCATCCTCACCATCCTAACCTGCCACTTCATGATGCCATGATCTATCTTCAACTCGATGACCTCATTCCTGCTCTTGGAGATTTCATTTCCAGTCAAACTTACATCACTCACAGTGGTTGTCACTTCTCTACCTCTGACTGCTCCCTGCCTTTTCAGTTGTGAATGTCTGGGAGAAGTTCTGAATTCAACACCAGTCCACTCAATATGTGCAAGCTGTTACACCCACTCAAACAGTCCAGGCAGTGCCTCTGAGTGAAAGGCTGCCATTTGGACATGCAAATACTGTGTTGGTTAGCCATGAAAGTGGTGAACTTATTTCAGCTGATCCACAATCCAAATGTGTGTAATGACAGTGTTGATAATGAGTTCTACTGAGTTTCTTTGCAGGTTACCTTGTGGCTCAGGTGTGAGCAATCTTGCAGCCCATCTGCAACCTTGTGTTCCCCCCCCCCTGATTTATGTCAAGTTCTTCAACTTCTCCAACCTGCACTACCATGTTGTTGACAACATCTGCATTGTTGCTCCTGCCCCAAAAATAGAAATGTTCCTTGTTCAGCAATGCTTCCAATCTAATGGCTGGCCACTTGGTGATATCATTCCTCTTGACAGTGTATGTCAGGTCATTCAGATCATCCCAAAGTTTGGTGTCAAGCCCCACTATGATCCGCTGAGGTTAAGCCCTTGTTCTACGGATTTGTTTGGCTTCCGAAGTCAAGCTTCTCTGCTACCCATGCCTTTCACTCGAGGGCCAGTCCATTCGGACTCGTCCTCTGGCAGGCATGCCATGCAGACTGGGCAGCAGTCAGTTTAGGGCAGGCATGCATGCTCGGAATAAATGCATCTTCCTGCAGTGGTCAGCATCCATGGCCATAGGACTTTGAAAGCACCGCATCCCGTCCGATCTGTGCAGTTAAGCAAAGTGCCACCTAGTTAGTACCATGGTGGGGGACCACATGGGAATCCTTGGTGCTGTGGTTCCTTTTCTGCAGTCGCATTTTTGCTAGTTGGTAGTGGTTGCATGTTGCATTGGCAATGTAGTGCAGCATTCACACTTTTCGCACTTTTGCATTAGTGATGTAGCGTCATGTCGCATACCAGTGGTTGCAGTGTAGTGTAGCGGTCGCATTTTTCATTAGCAAAGTGTTGTTGTGTGGTGTAGCGTTCGCATCTTTGATTAATAGTGTTGTGTGGTGTCCACATTTTTCATTAGCAAAGTGTTGTTGTGTCATGTAGTGTTTGCATTTTTCATCAATAATGTATTGTTGTGCTGTGTACTAGTGGTTGTAGTGTTGTGTTGCATACCAGTGGCTGTAGTGTAGTGTCGTGTGCATTTTTTGATTAGTAATGTAGTGCTGTGTTCTGTAGTGATCGCATTTTTCATTAACAATGTAGTGTGGTGTGGTGTGCATTTTTCATTAATAATGTAGTGTTGTTGTGGTGTGCATTTTTGATTGATAATGTAGTGTAGTGTTCGCATTTTTCATTGATAATGTATCGTTGTGTTGTGCACTAGTGGCTGTAGTGTTGTGTAGTGCAGGGTTCGCATTTTTGATTAGTAATGTATAGTTGTGTTGTGTACTAGTGGTTGCAGTGTAGTGTAGCGTAGTGTTCGCATTTTTCATCAGTAATGTATAGTTGTGTCGTGTACTAGTGGTTGCAGTGCAGTGTAGTGTAGTGTTTGCAATTTTGATTAATAATGTAGTGTAGTGTTTGCATTTTTCATCAATAATGTATTGTTGTGTAGTGCAGGGTTCGCATTTTTCATCAGCAACATATAGCTGTGTTGTGTACTAGTGGTTGCAGTGCAGTGCAGTGTAGTGTTCGCAATTTTGATTAATAATGTAGTGTAGTGTTCGCATTTTTCATTAATAATGTGTTGTTGTGTTGTGTAGTGTTCACATTTTTCATTAATAATGTGTTGTTGTGTTGTGTAGTTCAGCATTCGCATTTTTGATTAGTAATGTATAGTTGTGTTGTGTACCAGTGGTTGCAGTGCAGTGTAGTGTAGTGTTCACAATTTTGATTAATAATGTAGTGTAGTGTTCGCAATTTTGATTAATAATGTAGTGTAGTGTTTGCATTTTTCATTAATAATGTATTGTTGTGTGGTGCAGGGTTCGCATTTTTCATCAGCAATGTATAGCTGTGTTGTGTACTAGTGGCTGTAGTGTTGTGTAGTGCAGGGTTCGCATTTTTGATTGATAATGTAGTGTAGTGTTGTGTAGTGTTCACATTTTTCATCAGTAATGTATAGTTGTGTTGTGCACTAGTGGCTGTAGTGTTGTGTAGTGCAGGGTTTGCATTTTTGATTGATAATGTAGTGTAGTGTTGTGTAGTGTTCGCATTTTTCATTAACAAAGTGTAGTGTCACACAGCCACTAATGCGTCAAAATTTTTCAAAGTCCACCAAGTGTCCAAAAACGTGCAATTGTGGACACCAAAACTCATGCCTTTCATGCAAGCGGCCAAAGCGGACCAAACACAGGCCCTTTCCTACTATGTGGGCACAGGCCCCACAGGCAAGCCTCCAGTTGGGTGTCTTGGATGGAACACACTCAGGTGTCAAGTAAGTCCAAGGAGCTGATGGAAGTGATGCCAGCTGGCTAATACGAGTGCTGGGGGATCTATCAGCAGGGGGTATCTCGGACCGAATGCACCCAGGGTGTCAAGTAGGCATGAGACTACACATCCTGCAATTGGCTAATGAAGCTCTTCAGTCAGGTCTCTGAGGTGGAACATGCTCGGCTGTCAAGTAAGGGTAGGAATTTCACACCGCAGCGATGGTAATCATTGGCTAGCCCATGGGGGGGGGGGTATCTCAGACGGAAAGAAAGTAGTACTCGTCGAGTACGTCCCAGACCATACGACCCATGGTTGGCTAATGAAATCTGTTGGTCGGGTGTCCTAGCACAAAAGCGGCTGGGGTGTCAAGTAGGTCTCAGGACCAGAGTGAGGGGGTGCTAGTTGGCTAGTTATGGGCACTGCAGATCCTCCAGTCGGGGGGGTGTCTTGGATCGAACCCACATTCAGCAGTCAAGTAGGTCCGAGGCTGCCTGGCCCACTGTTGGCTAGAAAAAACCTGTAGGTCAGCACGAAGGGTACTGGTTGGCTGGTCGCAGGGTGGTATTTCAGACTGAACGGCACCTGGTTGTCAAGTAAGACCCAAGACCACCTGTCCTGTGGTTTGGCTAATGAAACCTGGAATCGGTTGGGTGGGGTGTCTTAGACCGAACGCATGCAGTTGTCAAGTAAGTCTATAGCTAGTTGCTGGCCTGACCTGGACTGAGCCATGGAACCTGCCTTGAGCATAGGGTGTTGGCTTGGGAGGGGCGAGGCCCGGATGGTCTGTGGACTGTTCAGTCTGCTGGTCCGATTTAGTCAAGGTTCCCTCTGCTTCGGCGGGGGGGGAAGTCTTGCATGGGGTGGTGAAGGGTGTGGGTCGATTGCTGATGGCCAGGCCAGAAACTATTAACCACTCGAAGATCCACTGTGACCGAGAGGATGTCCTCGGGATGTTGCCGGTTGCAAGTAGTCTTCATGGAAGGAAGCCATCTGCATCCCCTTGTGGACGCAGGGAAGTGTTCCTGAGATGTGTGAGACCAGGGGAACAAGGTAGATGGCTCGTCAGGACTTCTCGGTAGGACCGTTCGGGCAGAGGCATCCGGATGCATGCCCCTTGAGGACCTGGCGGGTCTCTGATTGATTTGGGTGGACTAAACTCTGACCTCCGAAAGGTGGCTCTGGCTGCCTGGTAGGAGGTGTTTGGGCCAAGGTGGCCTGGCAGGAAGGTAGTTACCTGGTTGATCCTGCCAGTAGTCATATGCTTGTCTCAAAGATTAAGCCATGCATGTCTAAGTATAAACAAGTTTGTGCTGTGAAACTGCGAATGGCTCATTAAATCAGTTATAGTTTATTTGATGATGACTTGCTACATGGATAACTGTGGTAATTCTAGAGCTAATACATGCAACTAAAGCCCCAACTTCCAGGAGGGGTGTATTTATTAGATAAAAAACCAACGCGGTTTGCCGCTCTCTTGGTGATTTATAATAACTGCTTGAATCGCACAGCCTCATGCTGGCGATGCATCATTCAAATATCTGCCCTATCAACTTTTGATGGTAGGATAGAGGCCTACCATGGTTTCAACAGGTAACGGGGAATAAGGGTTCAATTCCAGAGAGGGAGCCTGAGAAATGGCTACCACATCCAAGGAAGGCAGCAGGCATGCAAATTACCCAATCCTGACTCAGGGAGGTAGTGACAATAAATAACAATATAGGGCTCTTTTGGGTCTTATAATTGGAATGAGTACAATTTAAATCTCTTAACGAGGAATGATTGGAGGGCAAGTCTGGTGCCAGCAGCCATGGTAATTCCAGCTCCAATAGCGTATATTAAAGTTGTTGCAGTTAAAAAGCTCGTAGTTGAACCTTAGGCCTGGGTGGGCGGTCTGCCAAAAGGCATCGTACTGTCTGGCCGGGCCTTTCCCCTTGGTGAATCAGCGTGCCCTTCGCTGGGTGCATCGGGGAACCAGGACATTTACCTTGAGAAAATTAGAGTGTTCAAAGCAGGTGTCATGCCTGAATACATTAGCATGGAATAATGAAATAGGATGTGTGGTTCTATTTCGTTGGTTTCTAGGATCGCTGTAATGATTAATAGGGACAGTCAGGGGCATTAGTATTCGGTCGCTAGAGGTGAAATTCTTGGATTGACCGAA